TTTTAAATACAGTGTTAAGTGTAAAAAAATGATAATTTTCATTCACTGCCATTAATAATGTAAATCCTGAGCCAGTGGTTCTACTTCTAAGAATTATATTAAATAAATCATTAAGAAGATACATAATAATTTCACATATCCTTCACAAGAGAATGGGAAACATTTAAATGTCAAAAGATCTGTTAAACAAAAAATTGTACACTTGCTCTTTTGAATATTATACAGTATTAAAAGTATGTAAGTATACTTACATTTAAGATTGATACTAGAATATACATGACATGTAGATAAATTAGAAAAGGTTATAAAACTGTACTTCAGAATGAGCTTTGAACAAATTGTATTTATCTGCCTAGAAAAAAATGCAAAGAGCAGTAGCTATTTCCTTGAATATAATGATTCATGAGTAATATTTAAAATCCTTTTTTATTTGTAATTAATTTTTTTAAATGATGAACATATATTGTACATGCAGTAAAGAAAAGTTTTTAAGATGACCAGAACTGTAAATGGTCACTGATCTTCCAATACATGTTCTTGGGTTGTTAAGAGGGTCTGGGGGCTGACCACTGCAAGAAGAGCCACAATATATCCAGGTAGTGAGGACACTCTATCTCCAGTGAAACTCTGAAATGAAAATGTTAAAGAAATAATACTTAGACCTCAATTACCCTTTTCATATTGGATGTATTTCCATCTGGCTACAGGAAGTCTGCCCATACATAAGATACATGAGAAATTAAGAACTAGATCAATTCAGGGAAGAAACACTTTTCTGACCCATGGTGTTTGTTCTGGACTTGTCTGCAAAACATTTCACTGGCAAAGCATGAGGCTGAGGAACTCAAGGTCAAGTGGAAAGGAGCAACATGCGAAATAAATCAGAGCATTTGGATCAATGCCATTGCTTTCCTGTAATAATACCTGGGCAATGTAATGGATGCTGAGTCTCAAAGCCATCCTTTAAAAAGGGACATTTGTCCACAAGTTTGCACTTACTGGATGGGCGGATGACAATATTATTAGATATTGCAGCTCCACGTTCATTCCTGGCTGTACACTGATAGACTCCTTCATAGGTCTCCGCTTTCCCTTCGCTCATGATGTTGATTATGAGGGTTCCTGAGCCAGGCTTCATGGCGACAAGCGGGTCTTTATCTACGTCAAAATGAGTCCCATTTTGAGTCCAGGAGAAGCTGTCCAACACATAAAGCATTAAGCTTGTTAATGGCCCAGAAAACACAGGATTACTTACTCTTTAACACATTCCTAGGAGGTTTGTGAGTTTCTAGAAATAATTACTAGATTTTAATATTCAGTAAAGGAGTAATAGGCTCCATACCTAAGATGTTTCATTGAATCATGACTTAGAAAAAAATTCTGGCCATATATTTTAAGGTACATGTCTTCATTAGAACTGGCTGAAATCAGACTCAATAAAGAAATCATGCACACAAATTGCCTGTCATTAAAAAAAAAAATACAGGATGTAGGTCTCTGGGGCATACTCTCTCAGTGCTTTATTAGCATTTTAATTGTAAACTTCATTGTTCACAGAGTTAATAACCTGTCTATAAAGATTTGCTCTGGGCTGAAATGTGAACAGAAAGGCCTTCACAAGTACTAATATATGTTTCTGTTTAAAAGTGATCAGACCAGTTTCAAGCTATGAAAGTGCAAATGTAGGTTAGAAGGTGGGGAAGAAATAGGTGTTTAGTGGTGTTTTAAATGCTGGTATTAAAAAGGGTAATTCTATACAAAATATATTTTTACAAGTTTTAATTCGAGAAATGATTTTATAAATTCCTTAGGAAGCATTTCAAAATTGTCAACTGAAATTCTTCTTTCTCAGTTTTATTTACATAAAAGATTGCCTTACATGCAAGTCACAGTGCTCATGTAGTGAGATCCTTTATAACTAGTCCCAGATCAACAAAGGCACACCCTACAGAGGCATGAATTCTCCCTAAACTTCTCTTGGCCCACGTAGATTTCCTTTCCTGCTGCTGATCCTTATAGCAATGGTCGCACAGCTGGAAGGGAGGGAGATGGTGGTGGAGGGGATGCTGCTCAATGCACAGGACAGCCCCAGCCCCACAACAAAAAATCTGGCTCCAAATATCAATAATGCTGAGATGGAGAAATCCTGTCTTCCAGAGAGTTACAAGGGGTATTAAGTAAGCGTGAAAATGCAGGAAAACCCCACCAAATGACATCACATTAGGGCCTAGTGCCAGAGGGTTTCTAATAAATTGTTTGAAGCAAACGTTTGATGAAAATTTTTGATCTGCTTCAGCATTAGCACCAGTTATTTTTTTCTCAGGCGCCAGTCTGTGCTGGTTTGGTAAGGCGATAACAGATAAACAGGAATAAAGTATTTTGAAACTTTTGCTCTTTTTACTTAAAAATCTACTTTACCTTTGAATAATAATAATAATCTGACTCTCCAACACTCCATACATTACTGCGTAAATTACAGATCATTCCACTAGTCAGCTGGGACCCCGGGTAAGTTACCTTGTGTTACTAGGCATTAGTTTCCCATCAATAAGTTACATGGTTTGGAGCAGATAACTTCTGACATCTCTCACAACTCTAAAAGGCCATTCAGTGCTCATGCCAAGAAACATGTGGAGAATTCTGAATACTGAAACCTGCTGAGTTTGGAAACCCACACAGGACTATTTTATTTACTTATTTTACCAGCAAAGAGTAGTATAATAAGACAAAAGTACACACTCAAGGAGGGAGTGCGGGTGTGCTCCAAAACTATTTTACACGCCGATGTAGAACTATTTTATACACCCCTTTAGAGCTAGAAGAGATCTTAGAAGTCATCACATTCAACTTTATCTTATAGAGGAAGAGACTGAAGCCCGGAGAAAAGGGATTGGCCTGTCACAGCCATGGGAGCCGTCAGGAGGCTCTTCCCAGCTCCCCACAGTTTCTGAGCATTTTGAAGAAGTGCATGTATGAGTACAGGAATACAATCATCTGGGTGTTCAAGAAGAACAAACAGGCTTGAATTAAACAGACAAAACAATGACCGGCAAAGATACTTCGGAAGTGTGCAGGACTGCAATTAAGTTCAGTATTAGCATCAGCGTTCACTGTCAGCACTCTAAGGAAGCAGAGAGCACACCCACCTTGGAAGAGGTTTCCCTTTGGCCTCACACTGGATGACAATATTCTCCCGAGGGTCAATAATGTAATCTTTGGGAGACTGTTGAGTAATGGTTGGAGGTTGTACCACTTAATTGTAGAAAGAAGAATAATGTAAAGAAACAGATCATTTAACATCATAGCAATCATTTTTTTTTTCTATATGAAAATCACCTACCCTGGACTAAATATGCTCCAAACGTTTTTAGTAATTTCTACTGTGGCAGCACATACCTCAGTAGATTTTTAACTAAAAGCCTTCTAAACCTTTCAAGTTAAGGCATAATTTCCTTTTAGTAACTGTATACATACTCACAAAGCCCATTTTCTCCCACTCAGAGTTTGGGGAAATAATTACCAGTGCAAGCTTAATACTATGACAATTTCTTTTCTGATGTAACAATGAGAAATTTCTCTGATTCCTCTGGTTCAAAGATGCTTTTCAATAAAATTTATTATGAGGGTAAACTTAAATTTCTTAGGAAAGAGTATCTGACTTGCAGTTCATTGTGCTAATGTAAATTAATATATGTTGGGAACAAATAAACTTGAGATGTTAATGTCAAAAAGACGGTTAAATCAGAGATGACATGTCTTATTAGCACCAGGAGGTAGGTGGTTATTAGGAAGAAAGATAAAACCATTTTATTAAGAAGTTAAATGGGATTGGAAGTTCTGTGCTATAGCAGACACATTTCCATTTCACTTTTTTTTCAAGATCCAGAACAATGTAATCTGAAGAAAGCTTTATCTGGATGCCTGATGCTTAAGTCACTCTAAGATTACCATGTCCTTCTTGTGAAATCAGAATCACAGAATATGAGAACAGGAAGGGACTAGAGAAATAATCTATTGCTGCTGTTTCTTTTGTTGCTCAGGGCAGCAAAATGGCTTGACCAGGAAAGCACAAAGCAGAGAGATGAACTGAACTCTCCTAGCAGAAGCCTCTGCCTTGCACAGCTCTGGGGAGAGCCACTGACACAGACCAGTGACTCTTAACCAGAGGAAATTTGCTCCCACCACTCAGGGGACATTTGGCCTATCTGGAGACAATTTTGGTTGGCATGACTGGGATGGAGGGTGGTGCTGGCACTGGGGGTACAGGCCAGGGCTGCAGCTGAACATCTTACATGTACAGAAAAGCCCCCCAGAACAAAGACTTATCTGGATCATTTCAGTTTTTCATATCCTAGGTCTTCCCTTTCCTCTCCACCCTTAGTCTGTGCTTCCTCTGTGAACTTTTTCCCACATACCAATCAAGTATTTCCCAAAGTTTAAAAACAGGCCTCTGCTCTTGTCTTACTGCAGCTAATTGTTGCCAGGGCTGCAATCACTTCTGTGTCCAATGTCTCACAAATCTGCAAAATGGGTCTGTTCTCTTGCTCTGTCTCCAGGCTGGTATTGCCCAGCAGACATTTACTAAGTATCCAAATAACACCTAAAATATAGATCAAAGCCTAAACTCATTACTCTCATCATTTATTGTGTATTTTTTAGATGCAGGGTACTGGGAATATCAATTTCTCCTCCCTTTAGCAAGATTCAACCCCTCTCATCCTCCTGCAAAGCCAGCTGCTCTACAGCCTCCACCACTATACCAGGAGCCCCCTCCTTCCAGCCCTGCCACTTCCCAGAGCTGGTCGCCAGTTTGGTCTGGTGGTTAAGAACTAGTCTGGTTCTTACCAGCAATGAGACTTCAAGCAAGTCTCTTAACTTATGTAAGCCCTTGTTTCCTTAGAGAGAAAAGGGGCTTAAAAGTGGCATCAGCCTCCTAGGGTCACTGGGAGGATTACATAAAATAATTTCTGTAAAATTCTTAGCAAAGGCCATAGTATAATGGCTCAGTAACGTTAGCTATGTTGAAATCATCATAATCATTTGTATTTGGACCGGCTTCACCTTTGGGTGACCCTTTAGGCTGTGGGAACATAGAGTCTGGGATGATGGAGAGAAGCAGAGTTGCACAGCCGGGGATGGTGGGCGGAGGGGGCGGACGACGGCATTCTTAGGTATGACTCGGTCCTGTGCCCAGTGCTTCTCTTCGAGTGACAGAGGTGCAAGTCTAGTGGTCTCAGACCTGGAACTTCTGTTCATGTGTCTGCAACAGAGCTGGCTTAGATGCCACTCTGAACTGCCAGGAATTTGCTGTCTGGATGTACCTCTTGACAGTGTTTAGGTCATCTGGCAGCTAACAAATGCTTTGGAGTAATAAGGGGAAAATGTGATTTTACATAGTTTTCCTGGTTAATCCAATATCGTGGCATTTTTCAAATACCTGAAAACTATTTAGGTAGATGATGGATACTGCCCACTTGTCCGAGGTGGCAGAGGTTTTTACTTAGAGCAAGCCACTCAGAAACGATGTGAGGGTGGGCTGCTACCAGAACAGAGACAAAGAAATGTGAGAGGGCATACGGCTGCTGACTTGGGTGAAGCGTCTGCATGCACTCACCTTCTAAAAGATACCAAACGACATGTCTTTATTTCAGTAAGCATTTACGGGTATTTAGAACCAGAGAGGCATACTCTTTAAATTCTGTGAATTTTCTCATTGAGTTACATCAGATGTGAATAAAATGCAGATGTTAGTAGAGCAGAATATCAGTAAAAGTAAAAGAGTAATACCTGAGTCTTTGAAATTCATGCAGGGAATATATTAAACTTGTTTCTTGGTATTTAAATGCAATGTTTAGCCACATTAAGTACACATGCTTAAAAAGACATTAGTCACAAAACCTAAATTGTACGTTTGTTTCACAGTATTAATTAAAAAACAGACACGGTCAAATTTTCACACTGCTGAGTAATTACAGAAAGACACTTACAGTCTTCAAGAAGTTTTGCTTTTTCCCCATCAATATCAGTAGGTGTGTGGGCAAACAGGATTAAAGAAAACCAGATGTTAGTGATAGGAACGTTAGAACCCTGAAGATAAAAAGGGCATCTTGTCTGTCTGATTTGATCTAAAAAACCAGTACAGCGACACGTGAGGTTGTGAAGTTGTAGGAGAAAGAAGCTCCCATGAAGGGATTGGTTTAGTCCCGTGCGGCTATCCCATGCAAACATACGGAAGAACAAAAGGAAGGCTGCAGGCAAAAGAGGATTCTTCTCGAATAGGAATAGCTAATTCCATCCCAGACCCATTGTGTTGGACAAGTAATTATGTTCCATTTGAAAAATAGCTGAAATCTACAATTAATCTGAGTTGTCACATACAGTGTAGGTCTGACCCCATTATCCAGACATCACTAGGCACATGGTGCTAATACCTAACAAGGGGATATTGCTATTGTGACAGTCCTTCACCCAAGCCAAACCCAACACTGATTTTAGATTTTTCTATTTCTCTGGTTCATCCCCAAGTCAGTAATTGAACTTTTCTGACTATTAGCATATTTCTGCTTCAGAGTTCCTCAATCAGCCAGGATTGCAGGTACCTACAGCAGAGAGCAGCTCGTGTAGAAGGGATGTGAGGAATGGGGGTAGGGAAGAAATGACACTGGTATGCAATCCAAATGATTCTGCAGTGCTGAATGTCATTACTGCTTGCAAAGGTTAGTGCAGGAGCTCCGGGGCTGGACACCGCTGTCTTTCCATCACGGTTGTGCCTCTTCTCCGTTCACAGTGATAAGTGAGTTAGCTATGGGTGACTGTTCCCTCTGACCGTTAGACTGAGCAGCCAAATGAAAGGGGAATATATTTAACGCAAGGGAGAATAAAAGGGTTTCTCTCAAGTGCTTTCCCTCTGCTATATATTTAGAGTTCAGGCTTACTGGCCCATTCCCATTCCAATGGGCTTAACCAATCATACTTATATATTATATACATGCACACACATATATTCTTTTGAAAACTGAAATTGAAGTCACTGTAGAATATTTTTTGCAAATAAGTAAAACGTTGCATTTTATTGCTCTTGAGACTAGAACTGCACAGCAAAGGAAATCAACAAAGTGTGGGATAAACCATTTCTTCTTACTGTCTTCCCACTGGCAGTTGCAACCTCTTTGGCAAAGAAATGACATCCCAACATTGAATAGTCCCAGGAAAGTGCTATCATCTTTGTACCTTGGAAAGCTTGCCAAACAGATGTTCTATTCAGGAAGGTAATGGATTTAAAGAGGTCATGCAGATTAGGGATACAGGATAAATCTGAAGTACGATAACTGTCCAAATTTGAAATTCTGCTTTCTGCTGCAGAAAAAGTAACCAGTTGGAGCCTAGCATTCTTTTTATTTTTCATAAACAGACCACTCAGATCAGGAGAGTGCAGCATATGCTTAGGAACTAGAAAAAGGGGGGGCTAATACAGGAGCTGTTACTCACTCTATTTTAGTGTTTTTTCAGATGATTGGTTTTATTCTCAAAATTTACATCTTAATCTTTGATCACACTTTTTAAACCAAAAAAGACCTTTCATTAGGCTTTAGATATGATACATTTCCTAGATCTAGACTCATATTAAGATTCAGAATTTGAAAGTGAATCAGTCATGTGTGGTGTGGGATACTAAGGGGTGCATGGTTGCTGAGGGACCATCCCCCCAACTTTTCCAGAACACTCTGAGCATCTCTGGGGGGAGAGGGTGGAGGAGGGGGAAGGGGCAAGGGGGGGAAGCATCCTGTGATTGCTTTAAAGTGACTGAATGGTTTTCTTGCAGCACTGCTTTGCAGAGCCGCCTGGTTGGAGGATCAGAGCAGCCCACAGCCTCATTCTTTCTCAGGCCATCCCCCCACCATGATACACAAAAGGCATCATAGGGGGAGAAAGATAATGATGGGGAGGGGACAATGTGTCTGACTGTTTCAATGGGCATTTCTACAGTGAGGTTCTTTATAAACACCAGGTGCTGAAGGTAAAAGCCAAATTACTTTTGATTAGCTTTTCAGTGTCATACAGACACCTTCTCCCTTCACACAGTTCAAAGTGATGGTAAATGCCGGGGAGGTTTTGACTCCTGGGCCTAATAGCTTTGCAACGTTAATACTTACGATCAAGAGGTACTTCCAGTGTGGTAACCATCTGGCACAGGACAAGAATCAGGGGCACTCTGCCTGCGTATGAGCACTTCTTTTTCGGCATTATTTTAAGCTGCATTAGCTTAATTCCTGCTGCGACCCACAAACTGATTTTCCTTTTCTTCTTTCACAAAAGATTTGTGTGCAACGTTTAAATAATTTTCACGAAGGGAACTGAAAAAGGACAGAGTAAGAAATATAGTGTATTTAAAAAAAGGATACAAGGGAGTCTGCTGCACAGAAAATCAGTTCTGTATTATACATGAAGTCTAAAAGGGAGCTAACTTTTAAATATTTAACTCTCAAGATTGGGATAATCATTTATTCATAGATCAGCTAAAATCAGGTCAGATATATCTGTAATGATGTCAAGCAAAATCTGTTGACTTTGCCATCTTTATGGTTTTTCCATCTTAAACATTTGCATTTATATCAGAGGCTACCTCATTGTTCCTAATAGATCAGGAAAACCTGGCTTACAAATTGGTTAGAAAGTGTGACTTCTGAGGGGAGCCTAGTGGCTTCTCCATTCTAGACATTCTAGAGATCATCTCTGGGGAAGTTCACGGCATTGTTGCAAATTTGCTTCAAAGCCCAATCACTAATTAACCAGCAGAACCAGCCACAATTCAGGCCTTCCCCATCTCTAAACCAAGACTATGGCAACAGATTATATCTGGGCTCTGATTTCCAGGCCTTCTTCACCAGTCATCTTCCTGGACAGTGATGATCAATTTTCCTAGAGTCTTCTTCAGTTAAATATTGGGAATGGCCATATGGGATCTACCAAATAAAGCAGAATATATTCTTAACTGGGTAATAACAAAACCCTCAATGATCCAGCCTCGATTTTTCTTACAAACTTTGTCTCCTGTTTCAAAAATAACTTTTCTTTGTTTGATGGCCTGTTTCTGTTTTTCTTTCTTGGGTCAATCCTTTATTATGCCCTGTATTTTCCCTCCTTCTTACCTTTGTTTATTCTATTTCTCTGACCTGGAATGCCCTCTCTACCATATTTCCTTATCAAAGGCCAATTTATTTCTGATCAGTTGAAATTGAAACATGAGCTGATGACACCCAAACTAGGAGTCATTCGCCTCCTAAGAATTCCTGAAATTCTGTGTTTGAATTATCACATACATTATGTAGACAGATACAGAGACAGATATCTTTTGTAGGCGTGTTCTCTCTCCCTTCCTTCTGCAGGCTGATACTGTGCCTCTCCTATCTTTGTTTCCCTTTCCCATCACCTGACACGGTGTGCCTTGCCCAGGAGTGTTCCCCGTGCACAGGAGCATAAGCACACCCAGAATATAGACCAGCAGCAGAGTCCTACCTGGAATGACAGGTTTAATCATGTCTCTCATCAATGAAACAAGGTAGGGGTGGCCCTGGGTCTCTCTGGAAGGTAGGAGGGATGTTATTATTACAAACAAGGGACGGTCCCACAGCTTAATTACTGAATTATTTGTGTGGTTGTTATGACTTGCTTGATAGTGTACTTTGATAATGTTCATGTTTCCTACTGAACTGAAAGCCTCTGAAGGGTAGGAACGGCATCTTTTCTGTTCCCCACTGTGTCCCCGAGAGCCTATCTCAGCACCTGGCACATGGGAGGGAATTCATGAATATTTGCAGAAAAAAAAAATGGAGGGAGGAAAGGAGACCTAAGATCTTTGAAGATGATGTGCTCACATAGGTAGTCCGACCACAGTCCACTGAAGGCTATTAATATTTACACTACTTGGTTTAAAGCCAAACTCTTGTCAACATGATCAAATTAGTTTCATATCACATCTGTGTGTGGAAGAGAGCTCAAATGTATAAGAGGAAAATGAAACAATGCTGATAACATGAATATGTGTTTTGTTAGCAACGGAGTTCTTATTTGAACTCAATTACAAATGTAGTTCAACACTTCTTGCCAAACAAATGGAAAAAAGAATTTAATGTGCTAAACATAGACATTATACATATACAAAATAAGTATTACTTTGTAAATGAAACATCCATGCTATGTGGTTTCATTTAAGTTCGACCACAGTCTACCGAATATTTTATTCCATACATAGTCTGAAGAGGCAAGGCAGGTTGAATGATACTTTCATTCATATGAAGTAAGATCCAGGAAATTTGTTTTTCCATATTGTACTATATAAAGTCAGGTCCACTGAATATCAAGAGGTACATATTGAAGCTCAGCCAATCAAATCCAACCAAACTATAAACCAGACTGTTTTGTGTGTGTGTGCAAAGCATATCTGCATCATTTCATCAAATCTATTTATGTTTCTCATGATTTTTCTGTTGAAATGGTAACTCTGAATTTACACATACACTTCAGGGAATCTAAATGGCACTGAAACAAGTTGATGTTAATACTGCACATCCTGAGAGAAAACTGCAGAACCAGACACTGAGAAAACCATAGTATACGTGCCTGATTTGTGCATCAAGCTTATCAAGTTTATTCAACTGAATTGCCTAGCTCTCTGAACGGGTGCTGGAGAATTAAACATTTTTGAAAAGATGTACTAATAAATTGTAATGTCCATAAGATCTCAAGAAACTATGTACCATTTCTGTTATAAGTTCTTCACTTATTATAACATGAATATGTGTTTTGTTAGCAACGGAGTTCTTATTTGAACTCAATTACAAATGTAGTTCAACACTTCTTGCCAAACAAATGGAAAAAAGAATTTAATGTGCTAAACATAGACATTATACATATACAAAATAAGTATTACTTTGTAAATGAAACATCCATGCTATGTGGTTTCATTTAAGTTCGACCACAGTCTACCGAATATTTTATTCCATACATAGTCTGAAGAGGCAAGGCAGGTTGAATGATACTTTCATTCATATGAAGTAAGATCCAGGAAATTTGTTTTTCCATATTGTACTATATAAAGTCAGGTCCACTGAATATCAAGAGGTACATATTGAAGCTCAGCCAATCAAATCCAACCAAACTATAAACCAGACTGTTTTGTGTGTGTGTGCAAAGCATATCTGCATCATTTCATCAAATCTATTTATGTTTCTCATGATTTTTCTGTTGAAATGGTAACTCTGAATTTACACATACACTTCAGGGAATCTAAATGGCACTGAAACAAGTTGATGTTAATACTGCACATCCTGAGAGAAAACTGCAGAACCAGACACTGAGAAAACCATAGTATACGTGCCTGATTTGTGCATCAAGCTTATCAAGTTTATTCAACTGAATTGCCTAGCTCTCTGAACGGGTGCTGGAGAATTAAACATTTTTGAAAAGATGTACTAATAAATTGTAATGTCCATAAGATCTCAAGAAACTATGTACCATTTCTGTTATAAGTTCTTCACTTATTATTTATTTTGCCTGGATGATTTAACTACTCATCCTTCAAAACAGAGAAAACCCTTAGGCAACTTCATATGAATGAAAGTATCATTCAACCTGCCTTGCCTTTTCAGACTATGTAAGGAATAAAATAATATTGCACATTAAATCATAGTCTGGCAGAAAGAAAAAATAAGAAATTCAAGAAAAATCGAGAAAGCACTTAGAGACAGGAGTAAATCCTCACAATGAAAGGAGGTCATGAGCTATGATGACTGAAGGTTCTCTTCAGAAGTTCTAAGTTAACTGCACCAAAACCCAAAATCGCATGTGGTATGGGTTGTATTTGGGGAGGACAAAACAACAGCCCAGCCCAGCCTCTGGCTCCTGCCCATGGCAAATCACCTACTCCTCCTACTATGCCATCATAGGTGAAAAACTCGGTCCCAAGGACAGCTTTGGGTCCCCAGGCCTCAGGCAAAGTGAAAACTGAGTACAGCAACAGAAAGCTGAGCTTTCTCTCTGTAGGGGTACAGTGGTCTGCACACCTCACAGTGAGAAACCACTGTGTCCACACCCTCAGTGTTGAAGGCAATGCCCCTCCCTGCTAGGAGCTCATAGGCCTTATAGTTTTACATGGAAAATCATAGTCGTTCTCTCTTATGTGAGAACCATGAACTAAAACTATACTCTTGATGTGATTACATTAAAATGGATGGAACCACAGATTAGAAATAATAGCATCACCTTTAGTCAAGGCAGAAGAGTATGTTATTACAAGATAGATGGTCATTCACAAAAAATATTTGCTGCAGATGTTTGAAAGCAGGCTTGAATGAGACAGATGGTAGATTTATGTTTGCAATATGTATCACCCTAATATTTAAAAACCACATACATTAGTAAAATGTTCCAGAGTAATGATAAATAGTAAAGCCTTTCAATATTTCACTTCATTAACTCCATTCAAGCAACTTTCCATACACACTATCTCCAGAACCTCTGACTCAGATGAGGGAAAAAAATCTCCCTTCTTCAGTAAATTGTTCATCACTAGAAAATCAATGCAATTCAAGGTTCCCCTACTTCTTTTGGCCTAAAATTTATATTAAATCACAGAGCAAATGGTGCCCTGCATAAATGTATTTGCCATACATTTTAAAAGAAAAACCTAATGTTTTGACAAAGGATTCATATTAAGCCAAAAAACATAGCTCTCCTATTGCTCAATTAAGAAGTCTTGTCATTAGAAAGAAAAGAAAATCTTTTATATTTTTGTCAAGTGAAAGATAAAATAATTCTAATTAAAAACAATCAGCTGTCTATCAGACCCGGAAGGCCATGCATTACTTACCAATGTATTCAGTCTGTTTGTGCTTCCCAGCATCCCAATACTGGTGGCTCAGTGCTCACTGCACAATGTAACATGATCTACTCTCTAAGCCAATAAACAAATATGCTTATGTGACTGGACGCCCGTGGACACACTAATTATTGCTCTAGTGACCCGTCAGGAGCTGGCTTCCCTGACTGGATGGCTGACTGGGTGTGACATTGGCTTGACCATGAAAGGCGTTTTCAGCAGTCAGCTAGGGGATGGTTACTTTTTATGTTCTGCTAAATATTTACTGTAAAGAATAGCACATTAATGCCCATTCCTAGCCCATGCTTGAGCTTTTCAATAGCAGATTTTGTGCCTGAGACTGGAAGGAAGGTTGGAGAGAATGGACAATGACTTTACACAATTAACACATCAACAAAGTCATCCTTAAATGTACACAATGATGCTACCATGGAAGCACCCCAAGAAAAGTACGTAGTCTGGGATAACGTGACTGTA